AAACAGTGCTGCTGTCTGGAGCAAAAGGATTAAAGAAGGTCAAATGCTAAAGAGCAAGAATAACACCATGTTGTCAGGGACAGCTGGGAGGGGACACTGCAGTGGAAAGGTCAGAGCTAACTGGTGGTGGGGCAAATGGGATTCTATTTCTCTAACGCCATAACCATAGCAAGGAGAAGGCCCAGTGATTGTGTCACCACTCTCTTCTACAAGTACTTTTCGTTTGACCAAACCCCACTTTTGTTTTGATTCTGTTTATTTTGGGATCCTGGCACAAGCATACTTCACATCTCAATCTGTATAATTACTTTGAAGGGAAATTCAATTCATTCGTATCTGATGCCCACAAAAGCTAAATGTTCATCGTTTTCCATTTTTAAAAAGTAGGGGTGTTTTAAAGCATCTGTATTTGAGCCAAGAAACCAAGTAGGGCCTCAGGTCAGAACTCATGAACATTAAAATGTTCATCTTCTAAAAACTCTTGATTAATCACAGTTCTACTTGTTTTTCAAATAAATATGAAGATTGTACAAATACACAACAATAATAAATATCCCTAAATCTGAAGAACAGCTGACTGGGGCCTTAACCCCAGTCTGAGACAGGGCATGGCTCCCTGCCTGCTCAGACTTCCCCAGTGATCAGGAAGGTCCTCCAATAAATAGCCCATAAAGGGGGGAGAGTGGAGGGAAGAAAAAAAGGAGGAAGTGAGAAAAACACATGCACATCAAAATTTTTAAGTCCCCTAAAAAAATGAGCATTTAAACTGCTTGTCAGACGGCTTCCTGACAAAGCCACCAGAGTGTCTTCACTGGCATTTGCATAAACGCTGCCGGTGAGTTCACCACAGCTGCGAGCGCTAATGGTACATAAAGCAATTTAGTCACTTCTCCCGGCACCAATGTCAGGATGATGAGCACCAGCTCTTTGCCTTGTTGCATATTAGATCATTAGGTAATAAAGTGTTAGCTTGTGCAAGCTCACAGGGGCCCTGCACTATAGCTTTGTGAGGGCACCGCATTTTGCCCTGGGGGTGGAAAGTATAAAGAAACTAATGTCACAATTGGCCTTAAACCCAAGTAAACACAACCTGAAAGTCAGGAGAACAAGGGCAATATCAATACTCGCCAAGCCCTTTGAAGATCCCCAGTGCACAATCCCAGGAATTTGCCCAAGTGAGGGGAAGACAGGGCAGGCACACAAGCCGGAGCTGTACACAACTGTGGTGGCAACAATTCAGTGTCTTTGGCCCTATGCCTGCACTTTTTCAAAAATCAGAACTCTAAGAGCAGTTACATCCTGAGGCTGCCTGTCTCCCCAAGCATACCTCTCCCATAAAGCTATTGCTTAAGGAGGAAACCTCACTACCTAAACTCTCCCACAAATACCCAGCAAAGAACATCTCAGTATTTATGAATGAGGAAAAAGAGGGTGAGAGCAGTTACCAACAGCTTCAGTAAACAGGGATTCAGTCACCCTCTGTGGATCACACAAGATTCCAGGAAATAAATTTGCCTTTGTCAATTCTTTTACTTGAAATACAGGGACAGTTATGTGAGCACAAGGGTTGTGAGTGTGTGGGTCACACAGGGAGACTGCATGAGTGTGAAGCATGGTCTCTATTTCTCTCATTCACAGAAAGATTTGAGCCACGAAAGGGAACTTTCCTCCAACTGTCTGACATGCAGGATATAAATAGAGATGTGCCACAGCTCAAAATAAGTCAGGCTACCTGTAAACGAGATGGTGAAAAGCCCAGAATGAGGGAAAACGAAGGCTCCTACATGTCACCTAAGAGGCGAAAATACTGGTTGTCTCACTGTACAGTAGCTGCTGAAGGTGGGGGTGTGAGAGTGGAGGGGCCAAGGAGGGGGGCGTGGTTCTGTAAGTCTTAAAAAGGGCAATTTCAAATAGGATTTTTCAATGGCCAGATAAAGTATTACCATACCCCAAATCAACATGAGTTAGCATCATAGGTCCACACCCACACACCACCAATGAAAGAGCCCGTAGTCACCCTTTGCTGAGTAGATATTTATGTAGCTATCAACTTGAAGTGTCCACATGAGTGGGTGGTTATGTGTGGTTGGTTGATTAATTCTACAAAGAAGCAGATTTCCAGGGCACTGTTGTTACTAAGAACCTTAAGGAACTGTCTACCCTTTGAATCTTCTGGAGAGAAGTGAAGTAAGGCTTTGGAGAGCGGGAGGCCCCCTAGCTGAAGGAGGTAAGACATACCCACATCTCCAACGATGATTAACCATTAATAAATAGTGAAATGTCATCATTTTCTTGAATCATATGCTAATAATAACACAGCCAGTTGTGGACTGGTAAACTGAAGCAGAGAAATAAAATGTCTTTAAAACATAAAATAGCCCTGGCCGGGTGGCTCAGTTGGTTGAAGCGTCGTCCCATACACCAAAAGGTTGCGGGTTTGAGTCCCAGTCAGGGTACATATCTAGATTGCAGATTCCATCCCTAGTCAGGGTGCGAATGGAAGGCGACCCACTGATGTTTCTCTCACATCGATGTTTCTCTTTCTCTCACTCCCTCCCTTCCTTTCACTCTAAAAATCAATAAAAACATATCCTCAGGTGAGGATTTTAAAAATTAAAAACTTAGAATAATACAATATCACCACTAAAATATTAATGTGTATGCCTAGAAATAAAAATATTTGAGCTGGGAGGAAGCATAGAGACTCCAAATCGTTAGCCCATGGCTATATTCCTCCTAGGTGACTTTTACCCCCACTTCTCTCTCCAGGGTTTAAAATTTTGTAATTAGTTACCAACAATTAAAAATTAGGAGTCTTGCCAAAATGGAACATCTAGCCCCAATAGGCGTTCACTCCCCTTGGTGACAACTGCCTGGGGCTGGGGCGGTGGAGCATGTCTCTTGTTCCGCAGTCTCCACCCAGCCCACTTCCCCTGTGTATGTGACCTGCCCCCAGCCAAGGTACACATTACATCCCCCGCCCTGAAGATCATCACCTTTGTTTTGCTAAGAAGGAAACTAAGGATCCCAAAAGGTAAGGTGACTTGTCCAAGGTCACACCAAGGGCAGAGGTGAAACTACAAATTTAATTTAGGTTCCCTGACGCCAATTATCAGACTCTTTCCAACACATCATGATGCAAAATAATGTTCCTGACCTCCACACCAAGAGGCGTCCTTTCTATCTGGTTGTTTTCTGCTGTTTGTGTTGGTTTCTTTGGTGGAGGGACGATTGGCCTGGCATCCTGAGCTGTCTCCCCAGCTTCCCAAGGGCCGGAATGGGAGCTGAGTGAGGTCTGTACTTGGAGCACACTTTGAAACTGTGAACCCATGACTGGCACATTTCAAAGTGACAGTCAAGTGTGTCCCAGACAGGACAGTAACTGATCAGTCACAGTCACAGACAAGATTTCAGCTTTTAAGCCAGAGCTCTCCAAATTGTGCCCACTAGTATTTACTTATCTTTTCCTCCTTCCTTTTACCTAAACATCTCCAGTCATACAATGTCTTAAGTGACTCCAAAGGTATTAAGAAGGCAATAATACTGTAAAGTGAGGATCAGAATAATTTTAAGTACAGAAATGGAACTGTGAATGTAATCATGAGCAAGTGTTTCAAATGGCCTCCTGCAAAAAGTAATATCCATCCATCTCAGCACTAATGAAACCATAAAGTAACAGCTTTTGAAAGATGATGGTTTACCTTAAGAAGACTGTAAAACTGGATGTAGTGAAGAATCCCTTCTAAAAGTGTTACATCTGGCTAATTAATAAAAAGCACAGTTTGTGTCTTCCATAAGCACAGGCAAATAAAATCAGGCAAAGGATGATGATAGTGGTGTGTTCATTCAAGTGGGATGCTGGCAGGAAAGGGAGTTTCTACCTTGTGGACTACATCATGGACTGCTCACGCCCATGCAAGAGTCAGGCCATCAGTGTTAATTTGTATGGTAGATCTAGCAAGCTGGAAAGTGAAGTCGGGAAATGAGTTAAGAGTTTAATTTGAGGAGATGGCAAAAATCTAGCATGGTGATTGGTATCCAGTAGACTCAACTCAGTCACTGTTTCTTGGATGGATGGATGGATGGATGGATGGATGGAAGGAAGAAAGATGGGTGTATTGACGGATGGATGAATGGAGGGATGGGTGGATGGATGAATGGACAGGTGGATGATAGACAAATGAATGGATGGACAGAGAGATGGACGGAATGAGAAGATGAATGGATAGATGTTGCATTGATAATGGATAGATGGACAGATGGAAGTATGGATGATACATTACATATGCATGTAGTGCTGAAACATTCACACATATACTCAGTTGGGCCATGGTTCTTTTGAGTGGCATTCACTTTTCTTCATTTAAATTTTTATCTGGTTTCCTCCAGTTCACTTGAAGGCACAACTGATTAGCCATAAATTCAAGACAAATGTGATTTCTCCCCACCACAGGCTACGTACAGAAAGTAGGCTCTGCCATGTGGTGATGAGGGAAGGGGTCTGCACAGGGCATGGGAGAAACACTTAGTTCAGGCTGCATATTCAGATAGTGCCTCCAACACAGCCTTTGGATTTTATCTCCAAATGCAGTTAACTATGTATTCACAGAGATACACCATCAGTATTGCAAGGAGGATGGAGTTCATTGTACAACCAAGTCAACTGTAAGCTCAAAATGTGTCATGATTTTTGTGATCCTGCTTTGGCTTCTATTTGTCAGTCAAGTGGAAGCTTAAAATAAAGCAACAATCCAGGTCTCCTTCTGTCTCAACAAAAAGGAAAGATACATCAACCAATTTCCAGGGTAGAAAACTGTGCAATAGGCAAGGACAAGACTCAAAGATATCTTCCTGTCTTTAACTACTCAGCATCCACATTCTTCAACAGGACATTGGAAATTTGAAAAGGGGTAGAAAATGTGGTGGAGTTGGAAGAAAGAAACCAAAATAAATTCACAGTTAAAGGTAACAATGCCAACCAATGAAAATGATTCGCCTACCATGTTCCAGATAAGAGGGCGTACCTTCCGAGGGGTCAAGCCTCCGAGCCCTCCGCCCATGCTTGGAGTTATTGTGGACAAACATGTTATCAGAGACTGCCAGGACATGGCCATCCACATTGACTGTCGTAGACACCACGACCTGGAGACAGAAGAGAGAGATGAATGAACATTTTAATATAAAAGCACGGAGGGTAATAAACTCAAGTTAAATAAATAACAGCTGGGAGCTGAAGAAAATTGCATCGCGATTTCACATAATAACTGGTGCTTATGCTGTACAACTCTAACAAGAGGAGCTATTGATGAGTGGGTCTTTGGCATGGAACGCTTTTGATGCAGTTTTAAGTAAAATTGCACAGTTTATAGTTATACAGCAGAAGGTACACTGTTAACCATAATTTTAACAAGAGGATCTTTATTAGCATATTTTTTTACACAAGGGTGGTTGTGTTTCACCTAAATTACCCTTCAGTTTAGACACTGAAGCAGATATCACAGTTGATCATGCAAATAAAAAATCTTTTGAATCTTTAAAATATCCCCCTCTTCCTCCTCCTTCCCCTGTGTCAGGGTTAAGAAGATAGAGAAAAGAAAAAGAGAGGTTTTAGGGAGAGCTGGGATGCAGCTTGCTCTCCTGACTGTCTTTTTAGGGGATTCTTGTACTTGTTAACTGGACCAAAGCCCCCCTTGCCACCATCTCCACCATCACCACTACTCCCCGCCCCAAAAAAAAAAATTTCTGTTCAAGAAGGGTCTTAGGTCTGTGTTTCAAAGATCCCTCTGTACAAATGGTGGCATAGGTCCAGGGTACAATTCACATACCCTGGCCACCTTATAAACTGATTCTGAACTCAGTTTGTCGGAAAGGTGTTTTCTCAGAGAATTTTGACTAAAACAATGAGAAGAAATGACCTACACTTCTCCTTATATTAAATGGGGAAGAGGATTAAAACTGAAACCCACAGAGATATGTTTATTCATGCGACCTCTTACAACCAAATATAATAATTGTCTGTAATTGCAGCTTCAGCTCCCACCTCGTGCTCTGACATGGGAAACAGCAATCAGCTGGCTCCCATTTAATCCACCTATTATGTTGACTAATTAACTTTGCTCGACAGTTTATTTCTTCCTCCATTATCAGCCCCTGTCAGCCGCAAGCACCCTGCAGCATAGGGGGGACCTCAGGCTCTTTGATTGATCACCGATAGATTGACATGCAGATTAATTTAATTAGAATCACCTCACTTGAGAAATGAAAGACAATGGCAAGAGGGCTAATAGATCTGCTCTCATAATGAGGCGAGCCTCCAGAGCCAAGCTGAGGATTTCTGATTTATTTTGCTCAATTCCCCAGTTGCTTAGAAAGACTCGAGCTTTAATTGTTCTTGGTTTTGAGAGGCATTAGCTTCTGAAGAGGTGAAATGCTTTACAAGAATTGGCACGCACCAAGGCCCCCTTTCCTGGGGAAGCCTTTGCTCTGAGTTGGCCAAAGTGGGCACTGCATTCTAGTCTTGGGCAACAGGGCAGTTTCGTCACCTGATTTGGGCAGAGGGGAAAGTGCTGGGCCTTGGCCTGTGCCTGCAAATTGTCGGCCCTGCCTGACAAAGTGACCCCCTGTGTGGACCCCTACACCCATCAATGCCCATCAAACTTAAAAGTTCCCCTGCTCCTCACTTTGACCTAAAAGCCTCCTGGCAAAATATGGCGAGTTTCCTTCCCGCCCTGCCTCAAAGGTGGCAACGAACTGTGGGCTGTGCACACACTGCTTCCATAGAATCATGGGGTTGGGCTGATTTGATTGGTGTTTTTTCTTCTAGACCCTCACTTGAGGCCCTGCTGCTTATACAAAGCCCCTGGTGTCTGTCAGACCCAGAGGCAGAAGGAAGGACATGGGCCTACGGTCATGCTGCCTCCCAGGGAGGGTTTCCATGGGGTCTCCTAAATTCTCCTCAGGGCCCTCACTTTAACTCCCAGCAGGAGCTAGGCCATCCCCTGGTTTTATTTTTAACTCTATTTTATTAAAAAGCAAAGTAAACCATTGAGAGCATTCTCCTTAGTCACCTTGAATCCTAGCTAGGGCAAGTCATTCATGGGAGGAGGTAAGTCTGAAGGAGCAGTGTGCAGCTTGGTTTTCTCTTTCTTCACAATTGACCAACCAGATCTGACACAGCCTGAAGCTCGTGTGTAGGTCTCATCAATTGTAGGCTACTTTAAAAGAAGGAGGAGGAGGAGGAGGAGGAGAAAATGGCCTATTCTTTTCATTTCAAAGAATATTATGTGTGGTGGCAGAGTCCGTATTATTTGAGGCAACGGAAACACGCCTTTCTTTTTAGTTAGGGAGATGACTTCGCAGGACATCTACAATTATATAACAGAGCTGACTCTTTCAAAGAAATTTTGATTTACTACGAGACCACAATTGAGTGGTCACTGGAGTCGTTAGCTGAAGAAACTATAAAAGGAATCCCAAACGGTAACTGTTTCCAGTGCCAGGAAATACAGAAAGTGGTTATTCTCGATGTCTGTCTTGAGAGAAAAAAAGCAATGACAATTCACCACGCACCTGTAAGACAAAGCACTACAGGCTTAAGGCTTAAAATACTCAGTATTGTTTAAAGACATTTCATCTCCTTACATTAGACAAAAACTGTTAAGGAAAAAAAAACATTACACCCTCTATGTCTTTTTCTTGGAAAGAGAAGAATCACCAAGACCATATGTGTGATAAAATCATTTCATTGAAAGGTTCATTAAATTGGAGAAAGATAACACAGAGATTTCTCATGCTTTTAATTTCTAGAATATAAACACCCAATATGTTCCTCAGAAACCCATGGCACAATACATTTAAACTCCCCTATATCCCCAAAATAATTTCTCTCATTTCAATTTGGAAATGATCAGGATATATTTAAGTAAAATATAGGCTTAAATTAATCCACAGAGCAAGTTATAAATTTTTTAAAAATCTCACTGTGAAATGCAAAAGGGCACTGAAGTGTCCTTTAAAAAATAGGCCCATGGTAGGAGGGAAAAGGGCCTTTATAGTTTAACCCAAGATTAATGAGGTGCTGACACATTCATGCAGGCAAGGGGACAGACAGGCCTGCCAAATCTGCAACCTTCCCAAATTTTGTCAACAAAGCACAGCTTGAATTTGGGACAGATAAACATGGAAAATGACTTTACGTTTGGACCCGACCACTCCTCCCCTTTCTACCCACTTCTTCATTCTCCTGCCCAGGGAACGACATGAAGGGAATATGAGGAACAGGTCTAGTTAGAATTTTATGATAGCTGCTAGAATTAAATCTTTAGTCTCTAGAATTGCACTGCCCAATACAATAACCACACTGATGGCTATTTAAATGTAAACTACTTAAGTAAAATGTAAAGTTCCATTGTTCCTGAGTCATCATGGCCACATTTCAAGTGGTCAGTAGTCACACGCGGCTAGAGGGCAGATAGGAACATGAGCATCATTGCAGAATGTTCTGTTGGGCAACGCTGCTGTAGAATGGTTTTGAAAGAAATTGTGCCAATTTACTCACTAGGATGCCCAAGTTATATCTCCTGAAATAAGTATTGGCTAAGTGGACATGTTTAGGGTTGTGTACATGTATATTTTCTGGAATCAAATTTCTATTGGATAAAGAGGCATACCCTTTTAAGATGGAAATCCAGAGATGTGCTGATGAACACCCAGCATGTACCAGGGTTCAACCTTCTAGGTGAAGGTACGCAGTGTGAGGGAATATAAAGGGCAGGAGAGAAGTCTGCAGCTGCCCACAGGCTCTGAAGATTTTACATGGACATTTTCAATTTCTTGGCTCATCTTGGTGGTTCAGAATCTTCTCTGCTATATCCTGGATCTAGATACCACTAAAGCTTATTATTTTTGCTATTTATTAGTACTCTCCTCTAATTATAAAAAAATCAACACACAAATTTTGATTCTTGATTCCCAAGCTTTCCTGGTGGATATGATTTTAACTTAACCTCTCAGAGCCCCAGTGTCCCTGAATCTCTTATGGAAATAATCATAGTGGCCAACACACAATGTTACTGTGGGGCTGACATTACGTAAAGTGCCTAGTATGGTTCCTGGTTCATACTGAGCAATTAGCAAGCACCGATAATAGTAGTTGTATAGCTGTTGCTTTTAAAGATGTTTGTGATGCTCAAAAAAAGTTTGAGAGGACATGCTGGGCCATGAAGAGGACCCAGCACAAACTGCTATTTCAAATAAAAAGATACAGAAAGTATTTCTTCCATGTCTACTCTTTTATCAGTCTAACAATGAAACCATTTTTAAAGACCTTTGTGCTCACAACACATAATTATATAACTTAGGCCTCTTGTGAATTGCAAGATCTCACTGATTTATGTAACTTTGCTTTCTAGATCTCATCTACATCTCAGCCTGTTACACTCTGGGCTTGAAACTCAGTGAAATCTTACTGCTTTAAAAACAGTCTGTAAATTAGACAGCTGATCAATTCAGTCTGGTGTTCCTAATACTTCATTGGAATGAGGGGTTCTCTGGGAGTTTTGTTGTTAGTTCGCATTTCTTCACTGTCATTCCTCAGGCTGGCCTTCTTCCCTTTGTACCAGGCAGGAGACTGACTGCATATGTCCCAACTATATTATCAGAAATTCATGAAGCATAATCTCTGTCTCATGAGCAGATTTTCAAAAAGACACAAGCAGCTAAATTTAGTCATGGGTGGAAGGTCACATTAACAGAAGTAGCAGCTCCTGTGGGAGGACCAAAGGCCCCCAAAGAATTGAGATCTGTATCTTTAAACATTTCTACAATAAATGGTGAGTCAGAGAAAAGGTCAGACCCTAACAATATCTTTAATATTTAAATTTAGAGTATCTTGATAGTAAGTACCTCCCTCCAAAGAATCATCACTTATGTGAATTAATTTTAAATGATTATTTTAAAAAAATTATATATTTTGGTTTTCAATGCTGATATATAGTAATTTGGTGCAAGGGAATTAATGTTAAAGTTGGTTTTATATGGCTTACTTGTCTCTGAGTTTAGCTTATTCTATGTTTGCATTAGTTTAGGGCCCCTAATAGAAGGTATTGAATGCATTGGCTTTAAGCACATGAAATAAAAAGGCA